GCCATAAACTACCAAAAAATGAGGAACGATCATGACGAGTTAATGACTTTTTTCCTTAGGTCATTTTTGATGGGCCAGCAAAATTTTAGGTAATTTGGGTCCGATCGCCCGGACCCATGCAGATGGCGTGGGGCATACGAAAATTTGGAAATCCAACATAATTTCAGTTTTATGGCCCTAAAATGCCAAAAATCGAGGAACAGACATGGCGAGGAGATGACTATTGTTCCTTGGGTCGTTTATGATGGGTCAGGTCGCCCAAACCCATGCAGATGTCGTAGGCTACAGCACATGAAAAGTTGAAATCGGGAGGAATTCCAATTTTATGGCCTTAAAATGCCAAAAATCGAGGAAAGGTCATGGCGAAGCAATTACTATTATTCCTTAGGTCATTTTTGATCAGCCGAAAAAATTTGAGGCCCAGACCGACGCAGATGGCATGGGCTATTGTACACTAAAATTTGAGAATCGAGCGAAATTTCAGTTTTACTACCCTAAAATGCAAAACAAAATAAGGAACCGTCATGGAAAGACGATGACTATTGTTTCTTAGATAGTTTTATTAGGCCAGCAAAATATTAGGCGATCCAGGGCAAGTCGCCCAGATCCATACAGATGGCGTGGGCTATATGGCACACAAAAATATTGGAACTGGGCAGAATTCCACTTTTCTGGCCCTAAAATGTCAAAAAATAAGAACGATCATGGCAAGGCGATGACTATTGTTCCTTAGTTCATTTTTGAGAGGCGGGAAAATTTTTAGTCGATCTGGTTTGGGTCGTCTGGACCCATGCAGATGGCGTGGGCACACGAAAATCTAGGAATCGGGCGGTATTCCAGTATTATGGCCCTAAAACTCCAAAAAATAAGGAATGGTCATGGTCTAAAGAAATTTAGACGATCCGGGTCTAGTCGTCTGCACCCACAGATAGTGTGGGCTATAGTACCCAAAAATCTGAAAATCGAGCAGAATTTCAGTTTTATAGCCTTAAAACGCCAAAAAACGAGGAACGGTCATGGAGAGGTGATGACTATTGTTCCTTAGGTCGTATTTGATGGGCCGGCAAAATTTTAGGCAATCCGAGTTCCGTCGCCCAGACATATGCAGATGGCGTGGGCTATAGCACACGAATATTTGGGAATCAGGTGAAATTCCAGTTTTATGGCCCTAAAACGCCAAAAAATGAGGAACGGTCAGGGTGAGGCGATTACAATTGTTCCTTAGATCATTTTCGATAGGCCGATTAAATTTTAGGCGATCCAAGTTCGGTCACATGGACCTATGCAGATGGTGTGGCCTATAACCCGAAAATCTTGGAATCAGGCGGAATTCTAGTTTTATGGACATAAAATGTGAAAAAACGAGGAACGGTCATGGCGAGGCGATAATTATTGCTCCTTCGGTCATTTTTTATGGGCCGACAAAATTTTAGTCGATCCCTGTACGGTCACCGAAACCCATGTAGATGGCATGGGCTATAGCATACAAAAATCTAGGAATCGGGCGGAATTCCAATTTTGTAGCCCTAAAACACCAAAAGACGAGGAAAAGTCGTGGCCACGTGATGACTATTGTTCCTTAGGTAGTTTTTGATGGGCCGGTAAAATTTTAGGAGATATGGGTCCGGTCGCCCGGACCAATGCAGATGGCGTGGGCCATGCATACGAAAATTTGAGAATCGGGTAGAATTCCAATTTTATGGTCCTAAAATACAAAAAAATGAGGAACGGAGATGGCAAGGAGATGACTATCGTTCCTTGGGTCGTTTTTTATGGGTCGGGTCCTTCCTTTCTATTCCTTGGTAAGTGGATGATAGGAGCATGGGGGGCCGGGTCGCCCAGACCCATGCACATGGCGTGGACTATAGAACACAAAAAAATAAGAATCGGGCAGAATTCCAGTTTTATGGCCCAAAATGCTAGAAAACGAGGAACGCTCATGGCGAGGCGATAACTATTGATCCTTAGATTGTTTTTTATGGGCCGGAAAAATTTAGGAGATTTGGGTCCGGTCGACCGGACCTATACAGATGGCGCGGGCTATAGTACACGAAAATCTGAGAATCGGGCGGAATATCATTTTAGTGGCAAACAAAACGAAGAATGGTCATGGCAAGGGGATGACTATTGTTCCTTGGATCATTTTGATGGGCCGCAATAATTTTAGACGATCCAATCCCGATCGTCCGAACCCAAGCAGATGGTGTGGTCTATAGCACATGAAAATCTGAGAATTTGGGGGAATTATAGTTTTATTTCCCTATAACATAAAAAAACGAGGAACGATCATGGCGAGGCGATGACTATTGTTCCTTAGATAGTTTTTTATGGGCCGGCAAAATTTCAAGCGATCTGGGGCTAGTCACCCAGACCCATGCAAATGGTGTGGGCTATAGCATACGAAAATTTGGATATCGGGTGGCATTTCAGTTTTATGGCCTTAAAAAGGAACGGTCATGACGAGGTGATGACTATTGTTCCTTAGTTCATTTTTGATGAGCCGACAAAATTTTAGGCGATCAGGTTCCAATCGCCCGGACCCATGCAGATGGCGTGGGCTATAGCACAAGAAAATCTGAGAATCTGGCGAAATTTCAGTTTTTGGCGTCCGGTCGCCGGACCCATGTAGATGGTTTGGGGTATAGCACACGAATATATGAGAATCGGGGAGTAATTCTAGTTTTATGGCACTAAAATGCCGAAAAACGAGGAACGGTCATGGCGAGGCGATGATTATTGTTCCTTGGGTCGTTTTTGATAGGCCGACAAAATTTTAGGCAATCAGGTTTCGGTCTCCCGGACCCATGCAGATAGTGTGGGTTATAACACACGAAAATTTGAGAATCAAGCGGAATTTCAGTTTTATGACCCTAAAACGCCAAAAAACGAGGAACGATCATGGTGAGGGAATATTTATTGTTTATTAGATCATTTTTATGGGCCGAAAAAATATTAGGCGGTTCGGAAACGGGCGCCTGGACCCATGTGGATGGCGCAGGTTATAGCATACGAAAATCTAAGAAACGGACGATATTCTAGTTTTATGGTCCTAAAACTCCAAAAATAAGGAATGATAATGGCGAGGCGATGACTATTGTTCGTTGAGTCAGTTTTTATGGGCTGACAAAATTTAGGCAATGCGAGTCCGGTCGCCTGGACCTATGCAGATGGCGCAGGCTATAGCACACAAAAATCCGGGAATCGAGAGAAATTCCTATTTTATGCCCCTAAAATGCCTAAATGAGGAACGGTCATGGTGAGGTAATGACTATTGTTCCTTAGGTCATTTTTTATGAGCCAAAAAAATTTTAGACTGTCCAGGTCCGGTCGCTCGGATCCATACAGATGACATGGGCTATAGCACACGAAAATCTGAGAATCGGACGGAACTCCTATTTTATGGCCCTAAAATGCTAAAAAGAAGAAACAATTATGGTGAGGGAATATTGTTCCTTTGATCGTTTTTGATGGGCCGACAAAATTTTAAGCGATCCGGGTCTGGTCGCCGGCTCCATGCAGATGGCGTGGGCTATAGTACACGAAAATCTGAGAATCGGGCGGAATTCCAGTTTTATGGCCCTAAAACGCCATAAAACGAGGAATGGTCATGGTGAGGCGATGACTATTGTTCCTTGTGTCGTTTTCTATAAGCCAGCAAAAAATTTAGGCGATCAGGTCCGGTCGCCCGAGCCCACGCAGATGGCGTGGGCTAGTACACGAAAATCTGAGAATTGGGTGGAATTCTAATTTTATGGCCCTAAAATGCCATAAAACGAGGAACGGTCAAGGTTAGGCGATGACTATTGTTCCTTGTGTCGTTTTCGATAGGCCAGCAAAAAAGTTAGGCGATCCAAGTCCGGTCACCCGAGCTCATGCAGATGGCGTGGGCTATAGCACACGAAAATTTGAGAATTGGGCGAAATTCCAATTTTATGGTCCTAAAACGCTAAAAACGAGGAACGGTTATGGCGAGGCGATGACTACTGTTCCTTAGGTCCTTTTTTATGGGCCGCTAAATTTTTTGGCGATCTGGGTCTGGTCGCATGCAGATGGCGTGGGTTAAAGCATACGAAAATCAGAGACCAAAAAATGTGAAACTGTCATGATGAGGCAATGACTATTGTTCCATGGGTCATTTTTATGGGCCGGCAAAATTTTAGGTGATTCGAATCCGATCGCTCGGACACATCCAGAGGGCGTGGGCTTTAGCACACGAAAATCTAGGAATCTGGCGAAATTTCTATTTTATGGGCCTACAATGCCAAAAAATGAGGAATGGTCATGGCGAGGCGGTGACTATTATTCCTTAGATTGTTTTTGATTTGCCGGCAAAATTTCAAGCGATCCGGGTCTGGACGACCGAACCCATGCAGATGGCGTGTATAACACAAAAATCTAGAAATCAGGGAGAATTCCAGTTTTATGATCCTAAAACGCCAAAAAACGAGGAATGGTCATGGTGAGGCAATGGCTATTGTTACTTACGTCATTTTTATGGGCCGACAAAATTTTAGGCCATCGGGGTCTGGTCGCCTGGACCCATGCAGCTGGCGCAGGCTATAGCACACGAAAATTTAAATCGGGCGGAATGCCGATTTTACGACTCTAAAATGCCAAAAAAAGAGGAACGATCATGGTGTGGCGATGACAATTGTTCCTGAATTCCTGTTTTACAGCCCTAAAATGCTAAAAAAAAAATAAAGAAAGAAAAAGAAACGGTGACAATGAGAGAGAGAAAGAGAGAAGCTCATGCATGCTAACATCCACACTAAATAGGTAACTCTGCAATAATAGTACACGAAAAAAGCAGTCTCATGGTCAAGTGACGACACATCAAATGGAAGTATTGGAGAGTGGTCTAAATGATAGAGACATCCAGACATCTAACAGAAAGGCAATAAAATCAGTGAATAGGGAAGAACGAAAGATATCCAGCAAGACAAATGCATTTACTATACGCATAATTCTAGCCAATGCTACCGGATTCAGAAAAACGCATAAGTTATGATCTACTTTGCTCTTCAATGTAAATGTAGGTTAAAACATCTATGCGCTGTGACATCCAACATTAATGTCCATGATCTATACATAAAATAAAAACAAACGAGCTTCTGATAAGTTTGTTTATGCTGGCTCAAAGGAAAATGGCAAGTTTGGTTTAGCTCGTCAAGCTATTACAGAACTAAAATCGGCTTAGGAACCCAGTTATTGGCACGTAAATCCAGCACATCGCAAACCATAACCCTCAGTCGTGGAGCCAACTGAGGATTTGTCGACAGTTTCTTCAAGCAGTCAAAGTAAACATCGATGTTCTCCCTTGAATCTTGGCTCTTATCAAGCAGCTTGCCAATGTTGATGAGTAACTGGCAACTGGCTTCAACATTCTCTTCTGCCAGACAACATTTGTGATTGTTTATTAACAGTTCCTGTTAACAGAACCAGCAAAGACAATCATTGGTAGAGTTCTTGACATTATTGAGTCGATTGTTGCAAAAGCAACAACAACATACCCAGTATAATCCCACAAGCGGGGTCTAGGGAAGGTAGTGTGTATGCAAGCCGTACCTCTACCTAGAGAGAGGTTGTTTCCGATAGACCCTCGGCTCAAGAAGAAGAAGAAGAAGAAGAAGAGGAGGAAGAGAAGAAAGAAGAGGGAGACGACGACGATAAGGAAAAAGGGGAGAAAAAGAGAGGCCAAAAAAGAAAAAGTAGCACCAAATGGCATCAAATAGCAACAATAGGGAAAACCTTAACAATGCGATGAATAATATTTTTGCTGACCATCCTAAGCTTAAAAATCTCTCCAGTAAGCCGTATATTGCCAAGAGTTCGCAGTTTGATCAACTTTTCTTTGTCCTTGCGATCTGACTCCTGCTCCGGTGCTGTCATTTGCCTCGCCTCTGCTTGCAGATTGTCAGCACCTTCAAATGTCTTCTGACAATTATTCAATAGAACATACTTGAGCATAATCTCTCTGCGACCAGATTCATCAAAAGGAAATGGAGGCATTTTATTGAGATCAAAAAACAGTCGGGCATACGTCGGGCAAAATGTTGGTTCTAGTACAGCCTTGTCAAATATCAAGGTAACAACACCCTGGAGTGAAGATAAAAACATGTTAAATCTCCAGGACTAACATGGAAAATATTGAACTAAAAGATAACGACCAAAGAGAGATGTATTGTCTGGATACAGGAGGACGGACCTTTAGAATGTCTGCACTAGTTATCCCTGTAATTATCAATTGACTTTTAAGAAGATCAAACCTTTTCAGAGTCGGGTTGTTGAGTATACTGCAAATAGGAGTAGTTAGTATCAATGAGTTAGATAAATTCCAAATCTTCAGATAACACTGTAATTGAATTACCATTTATCTAATAATAAAACTTTTGAACCAAGAACCTCACCAATCCATACTTATCTCTCTTGCTCTCACACACACACACACGGGCGTATGCATGAAGACTAACATACAGACCAAATAGGGATATCAATATCTTCTCTCTGCAATAATAGAACACGCATAAAAAAGCCTCATGGACATGAGGCGACGCATCCAATAGACAGGAAGACAGAGAGGAACTGAACTATAATTTAAGCATATGTGCTTTGTGTAACTGCATAACTATTACAGAGAGTAAAAATTTACCCCATCACAGTCTTCAAGACACAATAGTCGTCAGAAAGATTGCTTCTTCGAGCTGCTGACGATGCCAGCTCTGCCTTGATAAGAGCAGGAGCAGGTCCTCGCTGATTCAAAAACAGAAATAAAAGTTTCTGAGGTCATTATTTATCCGACAGGACAAGAGTGGGTTGCTCTAGTGGTGAGCATCTTTCACTTCCAACCAAGAGGTTGTGAGTTCGAGTCACCCCAAAAGCAAGGTGGGGAGTTCTTGGAGGGAGGGATGCCGAGGGTCTATCGGAAACAGCCTCTCTAACCCAGGATAGGGGTAAGGTCTGCGTACACACTACCCTCCCAGATCCCACTAGTGGGATTATACTGGGTTGTTGTTGTTGTTGTTGTATTATTTATCCGATAGTAGCAAAAAAACGGATAAATAATGGATGTGTATTGGGAACAACAGAATAATCATTAAATTAAGAACTACCCCTGGATTGAGAGATACTGGAGTTCTTGCAAACTGTGGCTCGGAAAAAAGAGTCTGAGACTGGACCTGCGCCTACAAAAAAATGAGACATCTCGCAACATATAGTGAGTACTGCAAGAAACTAATAGATTAAACAAGAAACATTTTTCGATAAATGGAAAAATGGAGAAGAACAGCATATCTATCATCATTAACCAGAAAGGAAAATATAACCTTTTTTAACAGATACTCACATTGGAATCTGGACAACCTCGATGGGCATTTTCACCAAACAGTAGAGGAAATTCTTGTTTGATATCAAGAATATCATCGGAAATGCTAACCACCTAGAGAGAAAACAATCAACCAAATGAAAAACAATAACTAAGAAACATATTAGTGGCATCATTCCTTAGCGATTGAGGCGTGCTTAAATGGACGACATCTGGAAAATGAGAATTCATATAGTCGATTCGAAATTTCTTGAAACTAAAATGAAATGACATCTAAAATGGACCAGAGGAAGCAAAGATATGACTATTACCTTCCTCAGTTTCAGCATTTGATTTCGAGAATACCTAAAGCATTCACAACCCTCAAAACAAGAGTCCCCGGTAATCTACAACGATAAAAGTATAGTCAAGACACATATCATACAGTAAGTTCTTAAATAAATCTCAACAACGAAAGGCATTATCAAATAAAAGGCATATCCTGATAAACAGACACTCACACCGGTATATGCATGACCTCTATCGACATCTACATCAAACAGTTTAGGTTCTCCTTAGCGATTGAGGCGTGCTTAAATGAAAGAAAAGGCATTATCCTTTTAAAAGATATATACTCACATTGGTATCTGCATGATCTCGATTGGCATCTTCACCAAACAGTTCACAATCAACCACCTAGTAAACATAAAGAAGAAACAAATTAATTTGAATGATGAAATGATATGTGTCTGATAATGCAGATACATCATATTTAATTTGAATCTCATCAAAGAAAGAAGAGCATTATCAAATAAATCAACATTACAAGCATCAAAATACATCAACAACAACCTATGTTGCTCGGACTCTTCAAAGATGTAGCCGGGTGCGTGGATCCTCCAAAAGTAGTGCATTTTGAAGGATCTGACACGAGCGCAACAGCATTTTTAGAGAGTTTGGGCAACATAGACAACAACTACGCCTCAGTTCCAAACAAATTGGGGTCGGCCATATGAATCCTCACTGACCATGTTACTCCATATATATAAACTAATCTCAAGCCAACATTATACAAGACATAAATAAATAAATAAATGAAACAAGAAGTACTAGAAGTTGATTATATTTTCTACTGACGTATAAATCTCTAATAATAGGAAACATCAAGAATACATGCAAATTTAAAAAGGCATCCTAGTAAATGAAGTTGAGCAACATAAAGATACTTGAAGATGAAATGCAAAAGGCAGAATATGAAAGAGAATTGTGTAATTAAGGTAAAGAATTTTACAGCTGATCTTAATAGCAACATAGTAGAATCCTGTAGGTGTTAGTTAATCTCCGCTAAAAAAACTTGAATAAATCTCAATCACAAGAAACAGCAGCTGCCTTTTGAGCATATTTCTGAGACATAATAAAGAAAAGGAAAGGAAAGGAAAGGAAAGGAAAGGTTTTGCTATCGAACTCTTAAACAGCAAGTAGCCTTTACAGCAAATTCACCTGGAAAAATGAAAAGGCAACAAGTCTTGTTCTTTTCCCATTTCCATATTTAATGTGTATATGCTTCTAATAATTAACGGAGAAATGAAACGGTAGAATCACTTGGTCCGTGCTTTCCGCCTTTTGTTTAACATCAAGCGCCTTCTGTGCATAATTGATGGGTAAAACCGTTAGTCGAATTATATACACAATTTGCAAACGAAATTCTGAAAAGTTTAGGCATCCAAGTCTATGCATTAGCTCTCGTGTCAGAATTCTAATAGGCAAAGGCACAATTAGAGAAAAGGTTGGGTGCTCAAGCTCAATAGGTGATTAATTAAGTTTAGGTATCTAAATGAAAAATTGTAACGTACTCAGGAAGTAAAGACAGAAGTAGCAAAAATTTAATCAACGTGAGAATTTTTATTAATTCAACACTTCCAATTCAAATTACAATTGCGAAACAGAAAAGGAAATTGTTAAGCTACAAATCCATAACGAAATGATTGAGAAGAGAAGAGAAGCAAAGAAGAAAGAAGAGAGCAGAGGAAGGAGAAGAGAAGAGACGAGAAGGGAGCGAAGAGAGATAGACAGAGAGAGAAAGAGAAGTGAGAAGCAGAAGCCACGAAAATGGATTATAATTCTGAATGCCTTGTTCACCGCTTGCTTGTATCTATATATCGGTAAGTTCCCACATCGGTGAAATATGAGTTGAAAGTTATTGACCCGCGTGAGAACAATCCCAACACGTGACCTCCTTTTGATAACTAATTCCTGATCATAACAATCCTTCCCGCTTGAAATTGACCTTGTCCTCAAGGTCATTGTAGAAACATGATGACAAAGGTTCCATGTGATAATAAACTCAAGAGATTTTGTTAAGAATTTGCTCTCATTTAGAGTGCTTTGCAGATCATTGTTGCTTGGTCTAAAATCATAGTGAACTACTGGAGTCAAGCCATAACAAAGATAATCGATTGTCGCAGCCAAATTATACCAAGCATATATTTCCTTCCAGAATAACTTCTTCTCTCAAGGTCAAGAACAACAGTAACATTGGCATAACCTTGTAAAGTACTTGTACCACAACCTTCAATACTGATAGTTTCACTTGTGATAATCAGACATGCTAAGTAGCTGGTGCTTGAACTTCCAACAGCTACAATAATTGTTATTGTCAATGGACACAATGCAGCTTCAGCATTTACAAGTCCTCTCTTGAATTCTTCACCCGCAGGGAACATCTCTTCACAACCTTCGACAATTGCTAGTTGGTTTGTACCTTCAATTTTATAAGGCATTCCAAGTGTTTTCAAGTAACCAGGGATGTAGTGAACACCATCAGTACTTAGTAAATTTTCGTAAGCAGTTATTCTTCCATCCAGAGAGGCTTTACCAAGAGATCCATAGTAATTCAAAACAGTCAACTCTCTTACAAGTCTCTTACTGTGAGTCCTTTAGCAACTTGTAGTAGTAAACCAGGTCCAATCCCTGCATCCTTAAATATGTCTTTATTTGAACAATCATTGAGTGGAAAATTCAAGAGTCAGAACCTGAACCCTTCACTGTATTCTACCTTCATTTTTCATGATTTAAGAGAGTAACTATCATCAGGCTACCCTATTCAAGAGATACAAATTCAAAGAACACCTCCCAACGTATCTTCTTATTTGGCCTCTTGCCTTCCCTGTTGTGCCTTTTCTCAAATCCATACATCTGTAACATCAAACATAGAAGTACCATACATTGCTCATAGAACATTAGCACATTATCCATTGCCCAGGTCCTCAAGATTGCAATCAACAGTAAAATAGAAGTCACTACACCATTAATCTTTCCCCTTCCGAACAAAAAACCTGCTAAGCAACTATCCTGCAATTCACCAAAAACGGATTTTGTATTTTTCCAGTAGACATAAAACAATCCATTAAGCCGTGCACCCTTAGCAATGTTAGCGAGACGTATTTTAGTGTAATTCAAAGAATTCAAATATAAAGGAAACGAGGCACAAGCTGCAAGTTTGGATCCATCGAGCAACTCCTTCAATTGATTTAGCCAATCAAACACTATACTTGTATCCCAAATTAGTAACCATGATTGAGAGCTAGCACTCATTAACGAGGGAAAATTAGATTCAATAAACTGCATAAGGCTAATACAGAACACATCAAATGTAGTACCTCCAGGATCAAACACTATAATAGTTTCATCATTCTCATCTACAGACACTTAAGAGGAGTCCGCAAACAGACATGAAATAGGCGCGACCTCTAGTTCGAGCAATTCATCAAACAGTTTGAGTGAATCATGTGATTCCTCACTCCTATCAAACAAGACACCAGTGATTATGCACATAAAATTCTTAGCACCTTATACCACCATATGGCACTCACACAAGAGAGATTCGAGATCAAGACTAAGAGGAACTTGTTGACTTACCTCAATTTCGGCATGTTTGGTTGACTCTAACTTCCCGACAATTTCAGCTGGAGGTAGGAAAATTTTGTTCCTTGCCTCAATTTGCTTGAGGCTTAAACATTTTCCAACAGAGGCATCTTCAAGCTTCATGGGTTCTACCATAGGTTCATTAGGCGCATCAACTGATCTTAAGATACCGTCAATTGATGGAAGCTCTTGATCACCAGATTCTCCAACTTCTATTTCCTTTCTTGCACTTTCTACATGATAATCAGTTACCTTATCTTCCAGACTGATTCCAAGCATCTCCAATATTTTGTCCACTTTCTGATTTAATTCATCCAATCCCTTACCCAATTTATCAAAGTTTGCCCCCATTCGAACACCAGCAGATTGAATTGTCTTTGCAAAATCCTCAAATACGTTTTCTTCTGCCATGGCTGCCAGCTCCGAAAGGTGCCAAGATTAAGCTCTGATACCAATTGTAACGTACTCAGGAAGTAAAGACAGAATTAGCAAAAACTTAATAGCAACGTGAGAATTTTATTAATTCAACACTTTCAATTCAAATTACAATTGCGAAACAGAAAAGGAAATTGTTAAGCTACAAACCCATAACCAAATGATTGAGAAGACAAGAGAAGTAAAGAAGGAAGAAGAGAGCAGAGGAAGCAGAAGAGAAGAAACGAGAAGGCAGCGAAGAGAGAAAGGGAAGTGAGAAGCACAGCCGTTAGCGAAATGTCCGCTTTAAAAATATATTTTACGTAAACTCAAAATAATTTCCTAGGAGTTCGAAATCAAATAAGTATTGTCCAGATATAATTTTTGATATCTTTTCCTAATAAGAAAACGAAATATCAAGACAATAAAAAGAATTTAAAAAAAAAGTAGGAGAAAAATTTCTTTTTCCAACTAGGGAAGTCCTTGATTTGTATAATTATTTTTATTCCTTGTCCTTTAATCATACAACACCAATTTTGCCTTTTTATTTTCCTTTCTTATGAATTATTTGTTTTTTTAAAAATTGAAATCATATATACTTCTTTAGCAGATTTGTTGTTGAATTAAGGGTGTCTAACGGGCCGGGTCAACTCGTTTCCGGACCTGCCCAGACCGGTTGAAACCGGACCGGACCGGTACAAAGGGGGCCGGGTGGGCTGGGTTAATGGGGTAAGAAGGGTTGGTCCGTTCACCTTCGTTCAACCGGTTAACTGACCCGATCAAACCCGGTCAACGAGATTCATGTTCAACCGGTTAACCGGACCGGACCGGACCGGTTACCGGCTAGTTGTTTTAACTTTTTTTTTTTTATATGATTGTTAACGTTGGCAACGGTCATCTGGGCCAAGGGGCCGTTGCGCAGCGACTGTTTTGTACAAATAGCCCTTTTTGGGGCCATTTTCTTTTAAATTTAACACTTTTTGTAATTACTAATTTAGCCCTTTGAAAAACTGTAAATACCCCTCCCCCCTCTTCTTCATTTCTTCACTCATCTCTCATTTCTCAAACTCAAATTTTCAATTCAAGTTAAATCATGCCCCGTACTTCTAGAGTACGCTTATATGTTTGGGAACACTTTGAGGTGGTAGAAGAAAATGAAGAAGTTCACAAAGTAAAGTGCAAGAACTGTGGTCGTGTCTTAAATCTTCGTCTAAAGTGGGTGGGCACAGGCTGTTTAAGGAGGCATATGAAGAGTTGTCTTGAGCGTCCTCCAGAAATTCGTATTTAAGTTGATTTGAGACAATTTGTGTTATTTTAAAATTATTAGACGCTTTTACGCTTAATGTTTTAGTTTGTTAGATTAATTTGAAGTATTATTATGCATGAAAATTTAGTTTTACTCTTTTTTCGTTAATTTACTTGTTGTTAAATGCAAACTTCAATTTGTAAGTTTAAAATAAAAAAAGCACTTGCAATTTATAAGTGCAGTTTTTTTCCCATCTTCATTGTATTCTTTATATTTTTGGTTTATATTAATATAACTTACAATAGTTATACAAAATACAAGAAAATTAAAAATTACACTAACCCGGTCCGGTCCGGCCCGGCCACTTGGACCCGTAACCCTTACGGTTCATCTTTTATCCGGATGGACCCGAACCCGTTAAGCCCGATAACCCCTAACTCGTAACCGGTCCGGTTGAAACCTAGACGGTTTAAACTTTTCCCTACCCGGCCCGGCCCGGCCCACCCGTTTAACACCCATATGTTGAATCCATTAGTTTGTATTCTTAAAATACTAAGGCAAGTATTGATATTAACATCTACCATTAGATTTTGAAATAGTAATTATTGTTGGAAAAATAATAATAATATTTTTGTGATAAAAATTTAATTACCAATAATGGAATTTACAACTTTAACTAAATTCGTAATGCATAATAGCGTTAAATAGACGGACAAAGATTTGGCCCAAAAAAAACTAATATTATTACTAAAATAGTTTATTACATAATTTGACTAAAAAACAAGAATTAGGTATGAAATTCATCTCATAGCTAATAGGATTTTTTTAATTATCTGTCTCTAATTCGCCACCACATAGGATTAGCGATAAATTTCTATTAACTACATTTTGTCTGTTGCTATTTTTTTATTTTATAATTGACATGTCTGTAATACATGGTACGTAGACGATCATTTTGATACGAAATTAAATTAAAAGAAGGGGACACATAAAAATTCACTGAACCATTAAAATTATCTTGATTGTTTTCATGTTTAGCTAGGCCATAAAAATTTGGAGAATAGATTGCTTAATAAATAAAATTGCTAAAAGATTTGCCTTTTCAATTATTTGAAAGTTATCTAATTTGAGCTATAAGAATACGAAAGGATTTCTTTTTCTTTTTCATTTTCAAGAACAAGCATCACCCAAACAACAATTTGTAAGACAATTCCATGTTGATGTCGAATGTAATGGAATTATAGGGTCCATGCACTTTTTGACCAGTTAAATAATATTATTACAACATTAATCATTATTATTTGCTCATAGGATCCTTAGTGGGCATGGGAGACACTATTTTAGCATTTCCATCATTCATGGGCGAAGCCATCTTTAGCAAAGGGTGGTCTGACCACAGGGGCGGAGCTATAGTGATCGGAGCGGGTTCGGCCTAACCCAGTAGCTTTGGTTCGAATCCTGTATTTATCTTAAATTTTTTGTTGAATACGTATATATATTATTAATTTAGAACCCAGTAACTTCAAACGATTAGAATCCCGAACCCATAAGCTTGAAGTCCTGGCTCCGCCTCTGTCTGACCACCCTTCGCCGAAAAATTACACTGTGTATATAAATAAAATATTGATTTTAGATATATAAAACCTATATTAAACACCCTTTGTTGGAATTTTTTTCTACTTCTTTCAAATTTGAACACCCTTTCGATTATTATCCAATGGAATAATTGAGTAGCTGAGATGTAAAAATAATCATGTCGGAATCAAGTTTCAAATTCAAGTGATACAACTTATTAGAATTTAGAAATTTATTTTTCTTCAATTTTCATTGCATATATACTTTATACCAGTAAAAGTTAAAAGTGCAAGAAGATGGTGCGCATTTGTGTAATCCAGTGGTCAATGAAAAGACAACACACGAACAACTATTTGTTCCGAGAGATAATTATCTATTAGCCAAATTATTAACTTTTAAAACTTCCTTTTATTTAGAATCTGAATGGAATTCTAACATCAATCATGTCTCGTACATATGGTCGAAGTTACAATCTCATACCAACTCTACATAAATAAGAATACTCTGACCTATTTCTTAGGCTTTTGCGAATATTGTATGTGCACTTCAATGGCAATAGCTGAAGACACCTTGATGGTAATGAGTTGATCACATTAGTTCTCGAAAAAATCTTGTACTTATATGTGATTGACCCAAAATTTTATCTTTAATTTAAACATTTATTTCTGTGATCTAAGACCTCCAAAAGCATTATTTATCATTCCTCAACTTGCGTGCGCAGTCCGTACAATTTTTCGGAAAGTTTTTATGTAAAAAATGGATTAAAATGTGAAATAGAGCTTTAAAACTCAACTGAGTTTACTTCGGTCAACATTTTGAGCAAACGGACACGGATCGGTATTATGACAGTTCCAGTAGGTCCGTAACATGATTTGGGACTTGGGCGTATTCCCGAAATTGAATTCGTAGGCCCCTAGCTCAAATTATCGCTATTTAACGAAAACTAGAAATCTAAAGGCTAAAGATTTCCAAAGTTTGACCGCATAGTTGACTTTATTGAAATCAGACTCGGATTGAGATTCCGAAAAGTGGATTAGCTCTGTTATGTCATTTATGACTTATGTGTCAAATTTGAAGTCATTCCGGATTCATTTAGCATGTTTCGGCACGAGTTTTGTAAATTGAAAAGTTTGAAATTCATAAGTGCGAATCGAGGTGTGAATTGTAATTTTGACGCTGTTTGGCGTTATTTGAAACCCCGATTAAGTCCGTATTATGTTTTGGGACTTGTTGGTATATTCTGACGGGGTCCTGAGTACCCCGACTGTGATTCGGATTGAAATCGGAACAAAAATTGGACTTAAGAAAAATTTGGAGTTTTGCTGCTTCTAGTGCCTTCGCTTCTGGGAAGCCTTGGCCGCAGAAGCGGCCTGGGCAAGCTGGGCAAAAAGCCGCAGGTGCGAAACCTTGAACACACCTGCGCGTCCGCAGAAGCTGGACTTTGCGATCGCAGAAGCGGACTCTGAGATCGCAGAAACGCATTTGGCTCCGCAGAAGCGAGACCATAGGCGCGGTCAAGTCCATCGCAGAAGCAAATCCCTGGACAGTGTATAAATCGAAGAATCCGAGATTTTTCTCATTTTTAGACATTTCAAGCACGGATTTGGGCGATTCCAATGATTTTTCATGATTTCGACTTGGGTAAGTATTCTATATCCGAAAGTGATTATATTTCATAAATCCATGTCAATATTCATCATTTATTTCGGATTTGACATTTAGCATAAATTGCCTATTTCCTCCTTAATTTACACAATTAATTGCTATTTGTCATCACTTGTTTCTTAAATAAATCATAATTATTGTATGCTTTTTGTCTTATAATTTCATATTTATTGTTGCATTTATTGGAGTAATTTTTTTTATAAGAATTGGTAAACTATATTATTTGAGGAGCGGGTTGCACGCCGCAACAGAAATGAAAGTGAATATATTAGAGGAGCATGTTGCACGCCGCAACAGAATTGATTGAAAAGATATATTGAGCATCGAGTTGCACTCCACAACGGAATTAATTAAAAATAATATATTGTGGGACCGGCTTGCACGCCGCGATGGAATTGAATATGAAAATATTGTGGGATCGGGTTGCAGGCCGCAACGGAAATTGATTGAAGTAATAATTGATTATGACTGCCGAGTTGGCTTCGATTGTTGATATGAGTTAACTATTTTATTTCTATTCCCGTCTTTCTATTATTGTTATTATTATTATTATTATTATTATTATTATTATTATTATTATTGCGTACAGGTTAATGTAAGTGACCTGCCTTAGCCTCATCACTACTTCGTCGAAGTTAGGCTCGACACTTACTGGGTACATGGGGTTGGTTGTACTCATACTACACTATGCACTTCTTGTGCAGATACCGGAGATGGTCCCAGTGGCATACAATAGACTTGCTCGGATCCAGCTATTCGCAGGAGACTTGAGGTATAGCTGCATGGCGTTCGCAGTTCTGAAGTCCCCTTCCACTTTATC